GACAGTCAGTTTCCAAAATAGCATTATAAATTCAACAGCCAATAGCAGTCCACATGGCCCTTTTTTCTTTCAATTGACACATTCCAACTTAGAAAGCACCATAGTGAGAATGAAGCCATGAAATCTGCTGAGGCTGGTGGCTGAGAAGACAGGCATGAAGGTGAGAAGCTGCAGGTGCAGTGAGCTATCTGTGTACCAGTCAGCTCTTATCTGTGCTTTGTTTGTGTACTTGCTTTATTGAAAGCCTTAGAATCACTCAGTGATGAGCTCTTTGGTTGACTTGTAGTTTACTTGTGAGCTATAATATTTGGCTTCTTATGAGTTTTGAATTGATTCATGGACTATTGCCCAAAATAACAAGAAGGAGGAGGAGGCAGATCCGAAAGGGGAAGTGGTGGGAGGGGGGAGGATGTATCTCTACAACATAGATCTCATCTTAATTTTTTTTCATTTTTATACAATTTTTAATGGTTATACTCCATTTACAGTTATTACAAAATATTGGCTATATTCCCTGTATTGTACTACGTCCTTGTAGCCTGTCTTACATTAGTTTGTGCCTCTCACTCCCCCAGCCCTATCTTGCTCTTCACCCCACTGATAACCATAGTTTGTTCTCTGTATCTACGTGCTTGCTTCTTGTCTCTTGTATTCACTAGTTTGTTGTTTTTCTAGATTCCACATATAAGTGTTATTATACAATATTTGTCTTTTTCCATCTGACTTATTTCACTTAGCCTAACATCTTCCCAGTCTGTCTATGATGCTGCATATGGCAATATCATGTTCTTTTTTATGACTGAGTAGTAGTCCGTTGTATATACATACCACATTTTCTGTATCCATTCATCTATCTTGGAAACGTACATTGCTTTCATATCCTTAGCCCTCATTTTTTATCTCCAGGAGTAAGAATATTCCTGTTTTCTTTATACCTCAGAGCAGTGAATTCTCCCATTTAGTGCATACTTGTACTAAATATACAATAGCAGGCTTTCTTCTTGATTAAGAGAAAACTTTTTAGTAGAAAACAACATGTTGAAGAGTTATGGCAGAAGAGAAACTTACAACTCTTTATCACTGGTAATTCTATTAAATAATTCTTTATAGAGCACCCGCCATGTCTGAGGCACTGTGCTAGACTTGCATCAACATATACACAAGTAAACTGTAACAACTGGAAAGATATCTGATATACCTGGTACAAACTCTCATTTTATAGATTTTAAAACTTTAGCCCCAGAGGAGAAAGTGACTTATACAGAGTAATATGTATAATTACTTATAGCTGAGACTGCTGCTGCTGCTAAGTCGCTTCAGTCGTGTCTGACTCTGTGCGACCCCATAGACGGCAGCCCACCAGGCTCCGCCGTCCCTGGGATTCTCCAGGCAAGAACACTGGAGTGGGTTGACATTTCCTTCTCCAGTGCGTGAAAGTGAAAAGTGAAAGGGAAGTCGCTCAGTCATGTCTGACTCTTCATGACCCCGTGGACTGCAGCCCACCAGACTCCTCCGTCCATGGGATTTTCCAGGCAAGAGGACTGGAGTGGGGTGCCATTGCCTTCTCCCAAAGCTGAGACTACAGTCTCCTAAAGTAAGATAGGATCCCAGCTCTCATAAATATAATTTTAAGTGTTAGTTGCTCTGTCATGTCCAACTCTTTGTGACCCTTGGCCTGTAACCTTCCAGGCTCCTCTGTCCATGGAATTCTCCAGGCAAGAATACTGGAGTGGGTAGCCATTCCNGGTGAAGAATCTTCCTGCCAGTGCAAGAGACCTGAGAGATATGAGTTCGATCCCTGGGTTGGGAAGATCCCCTGGAGGAGGGCATGACAATCCACTCCAGTATTCTTGCCTGGACAATCCCCTGGACAGAGGAACCTGGCAGGCTGCAGTCCAGGGGATCACAAAGACTTGGACACAACAGAGCGACTAAGCACAGCACAGCATAGGTACAGATATAGATGTAAGTACAGATGGATCAATAGATGTAGCTATAGATATTTAGATGTAGCTATACATCAATAGATGTAGCTATAGATATTTAGCCAGCCTCGAATGTATATGGTGTGAGGCAAGGATCCAATTTCCCCTTTTTTCTGCATGACTAGTTTTACTGAATGTTTGTGTACATGTGTTTTTTTACATTTACTTATTTATATGGCTGAGTCAGGTCTTAGTTGTGGCACATGGGATCTTTTGTTGCAGCTCATGGACTCTCTAGTTGCAGCGCTCAGGCTGAGTTGCTCCATGGCATGTGGGATCCTAGTTCCCCAACAAGGGATCAAACCTGTGTCCCCTGCATTGCAATGCAGACTGTTAACCAGTGGACCACCAGGGAAGTCCCCTGAATATTTGTTGAATGCCACCATTGACAAAGCTAAATGCTTCTATCCAAGATCTGCTTCAAAAGTTTTATTCTACCCATTGATCTGTCTATATTTTTTCCTTTTTTTTATCTATTTTTATTAGTTTGAGGCTAATTACTTTACAATATTGTGATCTGTCTATATTAATGTGAACCTCATGCACATTTGGGTCTAAGAAACACTTTAGATCTCGGTCTTTAGGTTGGCTACACCCCTGTGAGACACTTTATTTCTCTAAAACTGATTCTTAAGACCATAACTCTTTGTCAGTTCTCTGTTTGTCTTCTTGTAAACATTTGAAAATTCACTGCCCTTCATGAAACTCATATATATTTTTTCTTAACTGTACCTCAACATGAAGAAATTATACCAGTGATTATGAGAGCAAAAGTATTATAACCATCTGCATTCTTTAGTACTTAGATATTCTGTTGGTCTTTTAACTGCATGTTTCTTCTGTAGGGTAATGGAACATACAAGATCTTCTGGTTTTAAAGCTGCCTTATAGGCTTCCCTGGTGGTTCAGATGGTGAAGTATCTGCCTGCAATGCAGGAGACCTGAGTTCAATCCCTGGATTGGGAAGATCCCCTGGAGAGGGAATGGCAACCCACTCCAGTATTCTTGCCTGGGAGAATCCCAAGGACAGAGGAGCCTGGTGGGCGATAGTCCATTGGGTCACAGGGAGTCAGACACAAGTGAGCACCTGACACTTTCTGTCTTTGATAGGCAGCTGAGCTCCCCAGCGTCCCCTGTTCATACTCCCTAGCTTACCTTTGCATCCCAGTCATAGCTAAATAGACTGATGTCTGCACAAAGCTGTCTATCAACTCCAACTGTCTGTACACGCTACTGCTAGTGCTTAAAAGATTCATCCTTCTCATTCGTCTGGCTGAAATACAAGTTATCCTATAGGACTCAGTTTAGACATGGCACCCGGTGGAAAGCTTTCTTAGACTCAGCAAATGGTTGCGTAGCCCCTTACCTCCTATAACACCAGGTACATCTTATAACAAAGAGCTTATCATGTTGGGGTGTAATTGACAAGTCGATGGTCTGCCTGCCTACTAGACAGTAAGTTCCTTGAGGACTGAAGTTGCCTCATTTTCACCCTATATCCCTACAGCTGGCACAATTCTTAGCATATAGTAGGGACTCAATTATATGTTGAGTGAATGAATGATATATGTTCACTGAAGCATGTTTAGGAGTAAAGCTAAATTTTTTAAAGAAAAGAAAATAATTATAAATCCCCAAATTTGAGACAACTCTTATTAACATTGTCGGCTTTCTTACTTCCAGTTAACTCTCTGTGTTGACTTCACTGCACATAAAGCTTTGAATACATCTGTTTTCATTTACTGGGAGCATTTTCTTCTGTAAATACAGACTCTTTGGAAACATCACTTTAATAATTATAACAAGAAGATTGTCTTTTAGAAGTAACATAGTTTTACTGAGATATTTTTTATTGTTAGGCTTTGTTACTTGCAGTGTTTTGCTGCTATAAATAATGCTTAAATGGATATTTTTGCATCTCTGATTATTTCTCTGTAATATACTGTGGAAATGAAATTACAGGGTGAAAATTTCATAGTTCTGAATGCAGTTGATCAAAACATCTACTGCAATGTACCCTTAACTGTAATACAGACTTTTTTAAAGAGTGAAGATTTCATAACAAAAAGGAGTAGCTCCCTTTTACCTGATATTTATTGGTCAATTGTATTACATTCTTTTGTGAACTGTATAACAGTAACCTTTACCCATTTCTTCTGTTGGACTCTTAGTTTTTCTTATTTATTTAAAAGTTCTCTGTATGTTAAGAATACAACCCTCAGTGAATTTTTTACAAATATTCCCAGCATGACATAATACTTTTTTTTCTGGCCCCATGCAGGTGCAGGACCTTAGTTCCCTGACTAGGGATCAAACCATTGCCCCCTGTAATGGAAGTGCATAGTCTTCACCACTAGACCACCAGGGAAGTTCCCCAGGGTGACATTTACCTTTGTTCTTATTGTTCATGTCTTTAATATTCTTAGAAATTTTATACACATTTATCAGTCATTTCATCTGTGCATTGTTCAACTGCTTTTCCATATAGAATTTCTTGCCTTACTTAAAGATATTCGGTGTATTTTTTCCTCCTTAGATATATACTTATAAGATACATCTTTTCATAGTGTGAGAAGGGCTTCCCAGCTGGCACTGGCAGTAAAGAACCCACCTGCTCCTGGAGGAGACATAAGAGATGTGGGTTTGATCCCTGGGTCAGGAAGATCCCCTGGAGGAGGGCATGGCAACCCACACCAGGATTCTTGCCTGGAGAATCCCATGGATAGAGGAGCCTCGTGGGCTACAGTCTGTGGGATCACAAATTGATGTGACTCACCACACACGCACTTAGCATGAGAAGATAGCTAGACTTTTTTCGTATGTATTTATTTTTTACAAACTAGCCGGTTTTCCTGATACCTTCTCTTGGGCTTCAGTGAAATGGAAGGCAGCTATGCTAGCCACTGTACCACCAAGACTTTGGCATCAGTGAACTCTTATTAAAGGCAGTCGTATTAAGCCTCTGAAGACATAGCTCAGTGTTCACCATGAAATTTGTTTCCCCCTCAGGTGAGCAGGAGCCGGCTATAAGCAGTGATTCTGATATCTCACTGATCATGGCGATGGAGGTTGGACTGTCTGATGTAGAACTTTCCACCGACCAAGACTGCGAAGAAGTGAAGTCTTGAAACGGCAAATAGAGAAAAAAGGGATGGTAGGACGCGAGGGGAAGGAAGTGAGGAGTGCACCAAGATTGGACCTGGCACTCACGTCTCCAGAACACCTTGGCAGCTCCAGCGCGCTCCACTTAAGAACGGTACCGCTAAGCAATATCCAAAGTCATGTTCATCAGGACGCAGTTTGGCCACGTCGGCACCGGCCCTGGCCTTGGCACCTGTGAAGCTGAAAGCTGATTTTCTCTCCCATGTCCTTATAGACACACACTTCAGAAGTTCCTGAAACAGACTGAAAGGACACTCTTAGGGCTTCTTAGTTTCATTTCAGTTTTTCCCGGGGTCTTATTTTCCTATTTGGGGAATGTGGTTGATTTCTTTGGCAGTTTCTTTTTAAGGACTATGTATAGTTTACTTTATGTTCACTCCTTTGTGTTTCCTTTGATTCACTCCAGCTTTTGTACCGAGTTCTGTTTAGAAGCATCAGTTCCTGCTCTGACCAGTTTGTATTCCATCTCTGAGATTAATGGCCTTGACCTCTCAGCATGAAGTGTGCATGGCTTTGGGAAGTGCCTCAGCACCTTGAAACAGTCTAAGGCCAGCTTTCGTTTAGAATCTAAATTCTTTTAAGTGGGTCTTAAAACTCCCAGCTGCCAGAGACCCCAACACCGAGCTCTGAATCTGCGGAGGCCACTGCTCATGTGTTTCAGCTACACACCCTGGCTTCCACTTGCCCAGCTCTGTTAAGGACCCATGTGACTTGAGAAGGAAGCTCTAGGGAGGCACGTCAATCCCTCTGGGTCTTAAGAATCTTTGACTGAAATTCTGAAATCACAATTTCCCTCTCGGGGCATTAGCGCCATTGTATGTGGCTGTAGGGCTTGTCCGTTGCTGGGACAACAAGTCTAATTTTCAAACCAGATACCACATACTCTTCCTGAAAGTGAAATGTCTGTTGCATTGGTTTCCCTAAGGCTACGACAATCTCCTGTTACCTCCATGAGTGGGTCCTGCAGGAGACGGAAGCTTTAGAAAAGATCCAAGCATCTTTGGATCCAACACAGTGGGGGCTGCGCGTGCATCCAGGTCTTACCTTAATTCCAGTACACTTCTGTTCAACCTCACCAGGCCTCGAAGAAAGGATTTAGGTGAGTCCTTAGGAAACTGCTTCCCAGGGCTCCCCTGAGTGCGTCTAGATGCCAAGTGGGAGGTGGGAGGTGGGGTGTAATAGAACACTTGATCTAAAAAGTACAGCCTGGGAATTGTTGAAATCAAGTTTCTCCTGACTGAGAGACAAAGTCAGAGGGAGAGGAAACGAGGTATCAAAATGAATTCTGAAAATCCACCTGGCGTTTTTAAACTCTTTATGTTTTTATTCTTTTTTTGTAACTATGACAGAGATGTGCTATTTTTTCAGTGGGCAATTTTGTAATACATTTGAGATTCTCCAGATGCACGGATTACTAAGGCAGTGTAAATTGTTTCTCTGGACCATTAGATGGATCACCTCGACATCTGTGAAAGGCCATGCTGCTGGGCATGGGTTACCTGGGAAAGAAAGCTCTCACCGAGTTATTTACGTATGTGATGAGGCCCTTCTGCCTTGCCACACTCATCCTCAAGCAAACACAAGAGTTTGGTTCTGCTGTAAGACCGTGCTGCCTGCTGGAACACGGTGTAGATGTCAGGGGAGACCACTGAAGGCTCTTTTTTCTCTACCTTTAACGATTTCCTATTTGATGCTTTCTAAGTAGGCAGCAAGGGCAGAGAAAATGGTCACCACCTTCAGAAATGTCACATCTCGGTAGGAGTCCAACACTTCCTGTCATGAAATCCAGGGTCTCCAAGGCAGGGAGGAGCAAAGCCAGTGCTGAATCCAGAGTCAGGAGGCGGAGATGAGCCGCGTGCTTGCTGGACCTCGGCTTCAGTGTCTGTAAAGAGAAGGTGTTTAACAAGATGATGCCCGAGGCTCCTTCCGGTCTTAGGACCACTAATGAGCATTTTGCCAGGGGGACCCATTTTTAGCAGTGAGTGATGACATACAGCAGACTTTCCACCTTGGGCAGGCAGAGTTACTTGACATGTAATATATAACAGCTTTTTGAGACTCAGCACGCCTATGTGGCTGAAACTGACTGTCTAAATAATGGAAGTTCTAAGTCCAAGGAGGAGTGGCTTTGTTTTGCCTTGCTCTAAAAGCCACACTTAGTCACAGGGTTTGCAGTCTCTGGAGACCTTCAAATCCTAGTTCTCAGTGTGGAATTCTTCATCTCAAGGTATTTCTTTTTCTAGGTCAGCAAAAACCTGTACCACCTACCCCTCCTTCAATCAGCTTTGTCCAAAACAAAGTTTGGTGTTAAGGGGAATGAGGAGGACAATTCAGCAGCCAAGGAATATAAATTGGATACCATGCCCGGAGAGAAAATGCCTTTAGGATTGGTGGGTGTTCTCTCTTCCTGCCAGTGACCAGGTAGCTCAGGAATTGGTTGCTTATGCGTGCCGTAGCCCAGCCGCCCCTAAAAGATGCTGCCTGGGTGATGACGGGCCCAGGTGGCAGAGCTGAGTGTGTGGACCTGACCCTAGGAAGGTTCTGCTGCAAGCTCCCCGAGTCTAGAAGGTTCTCCTTTACCAAAGATGTGTTTCTGAAGAATTTCCCCATAACTGTGGTAATTTTAAGGAAAAAAAAAAAAAAAGGTAATTAACTGGCATGGAAGCATTCAAAAAAAAAAAAAAATGGAAAGAGTCATTCTCACACAGCACGTCCGCCCAAAGAATAAACCCTGACCTGGGCCCCCTGTGGCCCATAGAAAGTATCAAAGGGCGTGGGAACCCTCTTGAAGCATCTGCAGACCTGATGTGCATTTTTCTGTAGGGCCTAGACCAGCACTCTCCAATAGAAATATAGTAGAAGTCCCACATGTAACTGTAAATTTTCTACTGGCCACATTTTTAAAAAACAAAAGAAAATAGGTAAAAGTAATTTCCATAATATACTTCTTTGTTCCAACATTATTGTTTCCACAGGTAATTAGTAGAAAAAGTATTCATGAGATACTTGACATTCTTTTTCATACTAAGTCTACCAAAGGCAGCACGCTGTCCATTTGGACTGGCTAATTCTCCAGTCTTCAGCAGCCCCACGTGGTCCATGGTCACCCTCGGAGAGCACAGGGCTAGAGCTTTTCCAACGTTCTCCCAAGATTCCCTGACCCTTGCAAAGAAAAGGGGCTAATTCCTAATTACCACTAGAGAGAACTGCATCCCACCCTGGTCGCCTAATGAGAGGCCCAGAGACCCACTTGTCTTGTAATGGATAAATATTCAGACCATCCTTCCTAAAATTTTTGCTAGATCTGTTTAACCGTACCACAGATGTCCATGACCATTTGCTGTTACTTCCTTGACCAGTTTTTTTGTTTGTTTCTTTGTTTTTTAAAGAAGTCACCCAGAGCATGTTGGTTTGGTGCTGAGACAAAATTATATCCTTCACTTCCACCCTTGGACTGATGTGCGGCACTCAGGAGCCAAACAGAATTCCAGATTCTAGTAATGCAGATTTACTTCCACCCCTTGTCCCCCTGCAGATGGTCTTTTCCTACTTCCAGTGGCCCCTAGCCCCATCACTATGGCTAAAATGCATGGATTTGGGGCGAAAAAGTGGCAAGGTACATATTGACTCCAAATACAAGACTCTGTGTGGCCTTCTCAATACAGGAGAAGTCTTAAGAGCTTGTGACTTTCCAGCCTCAAGTTGGTGAATTATGATGCCCTGCAACTCAGAAATCAGCTCTCAACTCAGAAGTAAGCATCCCCCGTCGGCTCCAAGGATGTGGGCAAGAAAACAAGCATCCCCATTCCCTCAGAGTAATTTAGAGTCCCCTCTAGGAATTGCTGCGTCCTGTGTGGCTGGTCCCTTTGGGCAGAACTGAGCTTTGATCATGAATAGAGCATCAGTATTTTGATTTCATCTCTAGGTTTTGGTTACCCCTAAAATGTCAACTCTGTCATCCTGGCAGGGAGTGATGGAGAGCTTGGAGAAGGTAGAAAGTTAAAAGTAAACTGCATCCCACCCTGGTCGCCTAATGAGAGGCCCAGAGACCCACTTGTCTTGTAATGGATAAATATTCAGACCATCCTTCCTAAAATTTTTGCTGGATCTGTTTAACCGTACCACAGATGTCCATGACCATTTGCTGTTACTTCCTTGACCAGTTTTTTTGTTTGTTTCTTTGTTTGTTTTTTAAAGAAGTCACCCAGAGCATGTTGGTTTGGTGCTGAGACAAAATTATATCCTTCACTTCCACCCTTGGACTGATGTGCGGTACTCAGGAGCCAAAGAGAATTCCAGATTCTAGTAATGCAGATTTACTTCCACCCCTTGTCCCCCTGCAGATGGTCTTTTCCTACTTCCAGTGGCCCCTAGCCCCATCACTATGGCTAAAATGCATGGATTTGGGGCGAAAAAGTGGCAAGGTACATATTGACTCCAAATACAAGACTCTGTGTGGCCTTCTCAATACAGGAGAAGTCTTAAGAGCTTGTGACTTTCCAGCCTCAGGTTGGTGAATTATGATGCCCTGCAACTCAGAAATCAGCTCTCAACTCAGAAGTAAGCATCCCCCGTCGGCTCCAAGGATGTGGGCAAGAAAACAAGCATCCCCATTCCCTCAGAGTAATTTAGAGTCCTCTTTAGGAATTGCTGCGTCCTGTGTGGCTGGTCCCTTTGGGCAGACCTGAGCTTCGATCATGAATAGAGCATCAGTATTTTGATTTCATCTCTAGGTTTTGGTTACCCCTAAAATGTCAACTCTGTCATCCTGGCAGGGAGTGATGGAGAGCTTGGAGAAGGTAGAAAGTTAAAAGTAGCAAAGGCATCTACCTTTTCTTACATCACTGAGTAATGATCATGACCATAGAGGCAAAGAGGGTTTTTTTGTTGTTGTTTTTAATTGGGGGATAATTGCTTTACAATATTGTGTTAGCCTCTGCCATACATCGGCATGAATCAGTCACAGGTCAGAGACATTTCTCTGTTTGTTTTGTTTTCCCGCATTCTGATGGAAACATCCTGCATGTTCCTGGGTCTGGATTTGGTCATCCCAATCCATGGTACCCAGTGGCTAGTTCAGTTACTGCTCTGACATTCCTGAAGCTGACATCCTTTCAGAACCAAAAATGATGGCGGACAGCCTGTCTTGGGACTCTTCCTACCATCACGTTCATCGGGTTGAGATGAAAAATCTTGCAGAGCATTTAGTTGTCTGTTGAATGCATCACCTGGACTGAAAACAAAGAAACCTCGTCAAAGCAAAACCCTTTCAGAAAACCGCAGAGAGAGCCACACCCTCTGTGGAGGGAGGACCCAACCCTCTGTGGTAACAGACAGAGCCTCTGAAGCCATTTCTGGTAGCATTTTTTAATAGTACTTTCATTTAGATTTCTTTCCTTTCTTTGTCTGGGTGTCTCTCTCCCTCTCTCTCTGGCTCTCTCTGACTGCCTATCTCTTTCTTTGTATGCACACCCCCACATGCATCCTTCTCCCATCTTTCAGGACAGAAAAACCTTAGTGGATCTGAAGAGGTGTTATTATTGTGATTACCGTCATTCCTGTTGTTGACGTTTTTCTTCTTTTTATTGTGTGGCAGAATCTATCTCTGCACGTCTGATGAGGAAAACCAGTTGACTATAAAAGCAAATTAACTTCCTCTGTAGTGGAGTTTGCCTCATTTTCACTTCTCATGTCACTAATTTTATCACAGACCACCTCTAGCTATTGCCTTAAAAAAAAAAAAAAAAAAAGACTTCCTTGCCAGAAAAGTCTCCGAGGCAAATAATGGCAAGGTAACAATTCCAGAATGCTGTCTAATCGGTTATCTTCCACCCCCAGCATCTGTGACCTTCTCAATTCACCACAGGCCCCCAGGGTTAGGATTTCTTGGAAAAACACATGGGCTGTACCGTATCCAATGTCCACTCCTGCTTCTTAACATCTTGGCACAAGAACTTGCTCTTTGTAAGTGATCTGAGAGGCCACTTCTTCCTCGAGACTGAAAAAGAGGCAGAAAGAAACCATTCCCCCAAAGGGAGAGACGCATAGCTCCTTGTGAGGTGCCTTGCATCACAGAACTCCCTCTGTGCTACTGGCATGGCCAGAACTGAACAGTACTTTTGATGAGGGCAATTAAAAGGTGGTGAGGATACGGCTTCCTGATGACACAGCGGGTAAAGAATCCTCCTGCAATACAGGAGACACGGGAGATGCCAGTTCGATGCCTGGGTCGGGAAGATCCCCTGGAGGAGGAAATGGCACCCCACTCCAGTATTCGTGCCTGAAAAGTGCCATGGACAGAGGACCCTGCTGGGCTATAGCTCAGAGGGTCGCAAAGAGTTGGACACTACTGAGTAACTAAGCGCTCATACACAGAGGGATGCTTTTACCCACCGAAGTTAGCAAAGAGGATGGCAGGGAATGCACATGGATGCTCTTCCCGAATCAGTGAGCATCCTCCAGTTTTCCAGCTGACCTCTCTGGGGGCTTGTGTTCGTCTTAAGGAGCTGAACGCTTGTGCGTTAAACACTCCTGATTGCAAAGAAGGTTGGGATTATCTGAAAAATAAATTAACTCTGAGAAGCAGGTGTGTGTTTCTCATCCTAGCCTCTTACCTTCCTGCCCTCCCCTCCCCATCTCATGACTCCAGGCCTTTTGTAATTTATAAAGACCCACAGGCAAGTAGCCACACTGTGCTCTTTGAGCCTTTGGGTGTCACTAAATTAATCATCCCCAAACTCAAGCAGTGCATCCAGACCCTGGGTGCAGACGCTTCATTATCAAGCCCTTTAATTGCAAAACCTGCTCATTCTGCAAAGGAGCTGCTGAGGTCATTTACAGCTCTCTTTACTGTCCTCTAAATGATGCCTGCCTTGAGTGCTTCATGATCAAGTGGCTTCTCCAGAAATCTCCGTGATTAAAGACCTTCTCATCCTTGTGCCACTGTTAACATTTGCATTTACCACCAAGCCATTCTGTCTCTGGCCACTGGATAAATATTTGTTGAGGATAATGATAAGTCAAAAACATTCATCTCTCCAGAGGCTCTGCAGGTCTGAAGAGAGGGAGGGAGAAAAACCCATGGAGAAGGTAACCTCATTCTGAGTCACCTGAAGTCGTTGCTTGGCAGGACATCTGTGGTCTTGTCATCCTTAGTGAAGTGAAGGACTTGGAGAAGTAGAGAAAATCAGGTGGGAGACCATGTGTACTGTATAAACCAAAGACCATCCAAACATGAGTCCACCATCCAAATGGACACATGTTTCTTCCAGTGGCTAGTTTAACTTTTTCCCAATGTGCTCATAAATAAAAGTGAAGTTGGTTCGCTTGGTCGAATGAAACTGTCAATGAAATCTTAGGGGGTTTTCTCTTGCAGGCTGAATTTCTCTTATGAAATCCAGAAATCTAAAAAGGAAAAAAAAAAAAAGGTATCATGGCCTTAGTACTGGACCATCTTGACAGTCGAGTGCTTAGTCTCCTTTTCCCTCAAAAGTTTCAGACAAATTGAGCGCTTTGTTGAACTCAGAATATTGTTCTCTTTGAGAATGTGAAGATTTTAAATAGCCAAAGAATTTTCGTGTATAAGAGCTAGTTAATCATAGCATATCCTGCTCTTTTGAAGAAAATACCAAACTATTGCCTGTAGTAACAGATCATGAAGCAGCAGCAGGACTATTAACATAAGGACTTTGCAGTCTGTGTTTGTGTTGGCGTCTATGGTATTTAGTGTTAAACGGGATGTTATTGCCAGGGAGCAGGGTGCCCTCTGCTGGAGTTCTCACCATTATCTCTCGGCCAACTCATCTGACGAGAGTCACCATTTCCTCAACAACTAGTAGCGATTTGCCTTTTATTGTAGTTTCCTCAGTAGTTGAGAATTTGGTCCACTTTTGTCAAAAATAGGGAGGAATGTCACAAACTCTGAAAACTGGAGGAGGGCCCCACGGAACATCTCTCTGTCAGCAGCCCCCATCTTCCCCAAAATGTTGAAAGGATATTGTTTGCTCTGTTTGCAAAGGAGATGCCTCTGGCTGGAATGTTTGTACAGAGTTCTAAGACAAGGGCCTAATTGTTTTGTAACGTTATCTCAACTTTTTTCTTGTCAAATTGCAAAGGAAGATCAATAAACAGATTTCTTTCATATGAATGTAAATGGTGTGAGATACTGATGTGTTTTGTACGTGTACATAATATATTTACTTCCTGCTTTCACATTAGTAATCTGAAATGGTTGTACCATTTTATAATTAGAAAGAGATGTCGAGGTGGGGGAGGGGAGGGAGGGGTTGTTATTTTTATAGTGAGATGTCCCTTATATTTAGAAAACTTGAAGTAATTTTGTACTTGTGAAAAGTTACATTCCATTCGTTTCTTGAAAAAGTAATGGGTGTTGTTCTTTTAAATGTTCACAAGCTGGAAGGATGATTATTCTAGTTTCTGGGAAGAGCCTCCCAAGCAGGATATACAAGACACTGATTCTGTGGACTGCAGATCAAGACCAGCAACTGACAGCTCAGCAATGTGAAAAGAAAAGAAAAACCAACGTATCTTAACCTCTTTAGGGAGGATATTATTATTTCCGTTGGGGGGGGAAATTTTCCTACAAAGAATGAATTTACCATTCGGAAACAGTTCAGACATGACATCTTAAATCAATGTCTAGTCCCTTCCTACTAACAAGAAAAAAATTCAGTGAATTTATTACCCACCCACCACCCGCTGCCAACACAGATGATGTGCTTTCATTGTAAAATGAACAACGTCACTGGTAGAGTTTAACTCAGCGTCATCTCGAGGTCTTTCCGGCCGGTCTGAAGATCCCATGTATGATGGTCCCTAACTCAATTTCACGATACTCAGATTATGAGACTTTTTCCTTGTTGGGTTTTTTTTTTTTTCCTCTATGACTAAAAATCACCAAAGTTACTCCTCATGGCCTTTTCACAAGTAACTTCTTATTTGGACTTTGGTTTGTTCTTATTTGTTAAAAAAAAAATTTTTAGTAGTGAATTATGTAGCTGTTCTACCCAAACATTATCTTCTGTACAAGTCACAGGCATATTTAAATGATTAGTTCAGATGGTGTAGTTATTGGGTTTCATTTTGTTTTTTCTGTATAAACCTCTTTTTCTTCTTCCCCACCTCAGGCACCTACCTTACTCCTTCTAAAGCACTTTATATCCCTCTTGAAATACACGGAAGTTTAAAAGAAATCATCTTTAACCGGAATTGTCTTCTGTTAGGAGACACAACTTTTATTTTGCTTTTTCTATCCTCTGTGTGCTTGGAGAGCATAAGCTGTTTGTCTCATATGGGCTAATGATGAGATATTAAGGCTAATAATTGGAATCATTCAATCCTACAACATGGCTCTTTTTATTATATAGAAGACTATCATGTAAATAAGTGCAACCATGTTCTTCTGTAAAGTTCAAAAAACATGCAATTATGAACATTTGAAAAGGATTGTGAATTCCAGGAAATTCCATTGCAAAATTTTGTTTGGTTTTGTTTTTTAATAAAATGGAACTGGAGGCATGTGTTTGCGTCATCCATTCCCTAACTGTAACCTCATCTGGGATTCCAAGGTGGCCCTGCAGGTCAGAAAACATCCATATTTATCGCTGTCATGATTGTGTTCAAAGAACAAGAGATTTTAATAACTTCTTTATCTCTCTCGGGTAAGTCAAATGCCAGGTAGACCTCTTCTTAGCTCTGTGCCTCTAAGTGAAGTAATTAAAAAGATTTTGAGGGAGTTTCCTGGAGGTCCAATGGTTAAGACTCTGTACTTCCAATGTAGAGGGTGTGGGTTCAATCCCTGGTTGGAGAACTAAGGTCCCACATGTCAAAAATTAAAAACAATATAGATTTCGAGCAGCTGAGCCGAAGAATGGCTGCTGAATTCTCTTGAAATGCTGTTGAGTAGGAACCAAACACTTGATCTGAGCTATGGGTGGGCAGATGACCCTAAAGAAGTTTACACTGCGGAGCCCACCAGATGGGCTGGGGGCAGCAGGTCCTCATTTATACTTACTTGTACACGTCTAACAGATTTTAAACAGCAATCTGTTCAGATTAGCAAGATGGGAAATGCCAGCCTAGGAAAGTAGGAAAGGAAGATGAAAAGGGGGAGAGGTACCCTATTTACCGTTATCACCCACCAGGCAGGCCCTGGTGTGGCTCAGAGCCTCTGGGTCCGGCCCATCCAAGAGGCCGATGTGTCGCCTCGTGGCAGGCAAGTCATATGTGCCTGGTGTGGTTCAGCTGATGACCAAAGCCTTCCACCTGGCCTGGCCCACCTCCAGAGGCTGTGAACACCACACTATTTGCTGGCAAAAGCCAAGCCATGTGGGATGCCCTGGCCTCCCAGGGCTGCTTCCTGCCCAAGTGACCACTGCTGAGTGAATGGCTGGAAAGCATCCGGGGCGAATCCATGCTTCATTCCTAGGTCAGAGGATATTTGAAGGCGATTGTTGGTAACTGGACCTGTGGCACATTGGGAGGCACTCTCCATTTTGCTCACGCCTCCACGATCACAATGCTGATCTCCCCGGGCACCTGTGATCACCAACGAAGCTGCCATCTGGGGTGGACGCTATTACCCAGGATCTGGAAGCCATCCCTCCTGACTCTGTCATCCATGATCCTTGCAGGGGAAATGTGCTCGGTGGGACCCATTCTCACTATGCTAGGAACTTCAGCAGCCGAATCCCAAGGGCGACTCCGCTGGAACAAGCGTCCGTGACACATTAGCAATTAACAACCTCCAAGCAGGTCTTCGCTAAGTCATCACTGTTCCTCTCTGTCAAGGGTCGTAGTTTTCAACATTGTGCTGTACAAGACCACTTGCATAGAATGTAGGTTTTTGAGCTAGAAGAAAGCTGCTGGACCTTTGTTTCCCACTTCAGAGCATTGTCCCTGCTCCAACTATAACAGAAAAAGGTCAGCGTGCACAGCCTGCACCGCCAGCTTGGTGCCCACCTCCACTGGAGCAGAGATGTCCCAGGACACAGGTCACTGGGGGCCCTGAGAGTCACCTGTGTGTCAGGGAGCAGGTAGGGGTGACGGTGTGGCTTATTTACCATTCATTCAGGCAGTAGAGGCGCTGCCTTCCTAGACACTCCACTCCATGCCGTATATGCATCATTTCAAGAATGGAGGATGCAAAACTCCCCAGTGCTTCGTAATAAGCCAGCTGGGCCAACTTGACCACCCAGTTTCCTAAGACTGTTAACGCCCATATTATGGAGTACTAGCTGCTAAACCACTATTCAAAACAGGAAAATGTGCTTAGAGACTTCCCTCGTGGTCCAGTAGGTCCCAATACAGGGGGCCAGGGTTCGATTCCTGGTCAGGGAGTTAGATCCCACATGCTGCAACTGAGTTTGCATGCCACCACTAAATATCCTGCATGCCACACAAGCCCCGGTGCAGCCAAATAAATAAGAAAGAAAATGAGTTCTTTTCTAAGTCTCACAATCCTTTCTAAACCAATGTCAGCATCCCCACTCATCTCCTCACCTTGGTTGAATGACTCGTTGCACCAGATTAGGGAAACAGGGCTGGTAGGGGAGGAGGTGGGTTATTTATGTTCTGTGATCATTGCTATACATAGAGTGAGGGTACCAACTGACAAGAAATTCAGTACCGAGACAGGTTTCGTTATTTCTGAGATGTTTAAGAACCATGGTTCCATCATTCTTAGGGATCCAACAACAGAAATTAGCTTGCATGGTATTTCATCCCACTGGTTGGTAGAGTCACCCTCAGGTCTCACGGTGACTCTCTATTCTTGGCAGTAAGCATAAGGGACAGTGAGGGACTTCCCTGGTGATCCAGTGGCTAAAACTCCTCACTCCCAGTGCAGGGGGCCCTGGTTTGATTCCTGGTCAGGGAACTAGATGCAACAAAGATGTGATGCAGTCAAATAAATAAAAATACATTTTAAACTGTTTCCCTTCCTTCCTCCCCATAAGCCTACGACCACTTTCAGACTTCAGAACACATCTCCTAGAGATGCATACTTAGTGGTGGCCAACCAACCAAAAAAAAATTAAGAGACTTTTCTGCTGTGCCATCAAAGACCAGGAGACAGTTCAATCCCACATGCCTCAGGGCCAAAAAAAAACCAAAACACAAAGCAGAAGTAGTATTGCAACAATTCAATAAAGACTTTAAAAAAAAGACCATGCTTAGATGTCCCTTCATCCATCTGCAGTCACATACCCTAGCACAGGTAGAATACCACCAAAGTCTCCTACAGTGGGTGGCGAACGGGCAGGGGAGTGTGTGTGAGGGGAGCCTGTATCTGCTGGCACGTCCCTGGTGGGTCAGTCAATACATAATCTGCCTGCAGTGCAGGAGGCCTGGGTTCAGTCTCTGGGTTGGAAAGAGCCCCTGGAGGAGGGCATGGCAACCCACTCCAGTATGCTTGCCTGGAGAATTCCATGGTCACTGGAGCCTGGCGGGTTGTAGTCTGTAGAGTTGCAAAGAGTCGGACATGACTGATTAAACATACACACATAGAAGTTAGCAATTAAACTCCCCCAAGCCCTCAGACCTTTCTTTGGTGGAAGACATCCCAGTCTGTCCCTGTGGAAACATCCAGAAGGTCTGATCGTAGTCATGATGCCCCTCCCCCCACAACCTAGGCTCGAAATTCTGTGCCTCGCTCCAACGTTCCTGCCTTCTTTGTTCTTAAGGATCATTCACTAAACAGTCAGGGGAGAAAGCAGAGCCAGTTTTCATTGGCGGGCATAGCCCTTGGTTGCTATGAGCGTTGTACACAGAACACAGCTGTCATTGGTATTATAGATCTAATGGGAGCCAAGGGTCTCAGATCTCTAAGGAAAAAAAAAATTCAGGACTTTGGAATAACATCAATATCTATAAATAAATGTGAGCTCAGAGAAGTTAATTACAGAATACAAGAACACAACAGGGTTAGACCTGGGAATAAGACTGGGCCTGGGCCTGGCGTTACACCAGCAAAACCCTTGTGCATCTATAGCCTCTCCTGAACAATGGAGAAAATTAGAAGTGGTCCGTTTGCCTCATATTACTTCCTTTTTCTGTTTGTTTGTTTTTTTAAATGAGGAGGAAGAGAAAAGGGAGGACATTATTTAGGGCCAGAGTTTGGGCTGACAAGGTTGGTTTCCCAACCCCTTTGCCAGAGACCCTGGGGCTGCTTCCATAAATGGGCAGGCATCTCCAGACTGCTCAAAAATCTCAGGAATGGAAAGCAAAAAAATCTGAAAGTTGAACATTATTAGACTGACAGGAAGATCGCTGTTTAGTCAGGGAACCGTCCCTGAACAGGAACAGTTCTAATCTGGAGACAGAAAGAGGATGGATGCAACCATAGTCTCCAAGCAGGAACATGTGCGAACACACACGCATCATCCGCAAGGTGGGTCCCAGTGAATGTTGCCTAATTTTAGTGGTGAGAGAAAGCACCTTGCCTTAAGATCCCAATGTGAGCTATTAGGCTCTACGCTCATTCTTTCAAAATAAAACTAGTTACGGGCTTTGCTGGTGGCACAATGGATAGGAAGACTCTGCAGCTAAGCCTGTGAACCACGACTATTGAGCAACTGCTCTGGAGCCCGTGGACCAGAGCCCGTGCTCCACAACAACTGAAGCCACGGCAGAGAGAAGCCTGAGCATCACAACTAGACAACACTCGTGCAAGGATGGGGTGGGGAGGGAGGGGGAAGGGGGGTTCAGGATGGGGAACACATGTACANTGGGGTGGGGAGGGAGGGGGAAGGGGGGTTCAGGATGGGGAACACATGTACACCCGTGGCAGGTTCATGTCAATGAATGGCAAAATCACCACAATATTGTAAAGTAATTAGCCTCCAATTAAAATAAATAAATTCATTAAAAAAAAGAAGACCCAGTCCAGCCAAAAATAAAATTATTTTAAAAAATTTTAAAGTGAAATTTGTTATGGTGTTGTACCTTCCAAAACTGACTCATAGTCAACAACCTGCCATTCTTCTAGTCTTACAACACTGAGACTTGCTTAAGAGTAAGCAGAGGAATAAATTTTTTTTTCCATATATTATGAGGAATCAGATATCCAAAGAAAATCTCCGAACTACAGAATACTTAAAAACATTGGACAAAATATTTTAAAATCTTCTTTGAAGTGAAGTGAAAGTCGCTCAGTCATGTCCGACTCTTTGCAAGCCCACGGACTATACAGTCCATGGAATTCTCCAGGCCAGGATACTGGAGTGGGTAGCCGTTCCCTTCTCCAGGGGATCTTCCCCACCCAGGGATCGAACCCAGGTCTCCTGCATTGCAGGTGGATTCTTTACCAGCTGAGCCACAAAGGAAGCCCTTCTTTGATGATAGCTAAATTGATGGGAAAGTAAGAAAACTTCTTGAAAGCCAGAATCTATAAGAAAATACTACCCAGAGAGGAAGGTGGAACTCCAGACCCAGAGGTTCCCCTGGGCTATGTGCTGACCCTTGATGGTCCAGGGATCCACAAACGCTCTTCTGTGAAGCTCGGGGTCAGTACTTCAGG